AGGCCTGACCCTCCTACCCTCTCCTGGCACTGCCATCGCTCAGAGAGCTTCACCGAGCTCCTTCAGAGCACGAGGAGGCCAACTGCCATCAGAGGCTTATGCACAGGGGAACTAAAGCAGCCCCCAGGAGCATCCCAAGCCTCCTGAGAAGCAGAAGACAAGTGCAGCTGCCCCCCAGCACATTGCTGCCCGTGAGCAGCCTGCAGGAAGCCTTACGCCACGTGCTGGAGAGGCCCCTCCTCGGGGCACCGAGGTCCTGCTGTGCCCTCAGCGACGACAGCTCCTCATGTTCCAGCTGTTCCAGTCGTCTCCTCCGGTGAGCCACGTTCAGCTGCTCCTGTCCGTCCCCAGGAGAAAGGGAAAGAAGGACGCCTTTTTTTTTGAAGCTGAGGCCCTGGGCACAGTGGCCGCAACCCAAGAAGGAAGGCCCAGGGGGATTTGCCTGGTGCAGCTGCTGTTCCTGCTGGTTCAGCTGCTCCACGTGACGCTGGATGCCCCTCAGCCTGGTCTGCCACTCCAGCTTTCTCCTGTGTGTCTCCCAGAAGGCTCGCTCCTCTTCCTCGTACCTCTGTGACAAGAGCTGCAGGTCAGGGCAGCTGAGGATGAGGATCCCCAGCTTTGGGAGGGCTCTGAACCCCAGCTTCAGTGCTGGGAATTGCGCCGCAGATGCTCCGCTTACCTCAGTCATGCTTTGAAGCTCCTCCTGCTGCTGCTGGACCCGCAGTGCCATCCAGTTCACCTTCTCCTTCTCCAGCCTCAGGTCCCGCCAGGCCTCCTCCAGCAGCTCCCTGTCCCTTGCCACCTCCTCCTCTTTGGCTTTCAGCTTACAGCCCCTGATCTTCAGCTCTGCCTGCTCCTACAACGGGCGTGGAGGAAATCATTGTGTTACCTGTCCTGTCCTGGACACTATCTCACATCTTCCCAAGCAATGTGAGACATCTGTCCCTGCTGAGCTACTCGAGTGTACCAGTTTGGGGAGCAGAGCACCACCACCAGGTACTCCAGCAGTGCCCTTATCCATCCTTCCCCGGAAAGGACAGAGTCCCCCGCCGTGCTGCACACCCTAGAACCTGCTCAAGGCACAGCAGTTGCTCAGCAGTGGAAATATCCAGCTGGAATGGTTACGTTCCACCCTGGCAGCCCTTTAAAATGCAGCTCTGCTGCACTGTCTGGGCCACGTACCCCCTCTGCACAGCCCCGGAGGGAGCAGAACTAGCTCTGGACACATCCCTGAAGGCAGCGCTGAATGTCTCCCCTGTGGGCAGGACCCACCAGTCAGGCAGCCAGGCGGTGCTGGAGGCCACGGGACAGGGCTCTGCTGGGGTACCTTGGCCAGGCTCCTGACGGTAGCCTCTCTCTCCGCGTCCATCTGCAGGGCTTCCTCCACGTCACGCTGTCCCGATCCAGTGTTGGGGGAGGTTTTGAGCTCCATCCACTCCTTGCTCAGCTGCTGCTTGGTGTGACACTCAGCCCGCTTGGCCGACAAATTCCGCTGTGCCTCCAAGCACGTCTGCAGCACCAACTCCTGCTCCTCCATCAGTGCGCTCTGGGAGCATGGCAAGAGAGGCAGAGAGAAAGCACTAAGTGCCATCTGCTGCAGGACTCTCCTCCTTTAACCCCGCTCTGCTGCCAAACCCCGTGCTGCATCTAGAGGCCCACGGTTCAAGCCCGTGGAGTTCAGCCCAGCTAACCTTTGCCGTCTCCAGCTCCGCTCGCACCACAGAGAGATGGTGGATCAGGACTCGATGCTGCTGCTCCAGGGAGTGCTGCAGTGCTGCTGCTTTGGATCGCTCCCTTGTCACCCTGCAGCGCTCCTGGGTTGGGACACAGGGGAGTCAGATGCCAGTCACAGGCTCCAGGCCAGGGACCTCCAGTGGACCAGACAGATGGCCCACACCCAGACAGGAGAGCTGACCAGGGCAGGGGACGCAGCGTGGGCTCACCCGCTCTAGCAGCTGAGTCTGCTCCCTCAGCCTGGCCTTCATTTTAGCCATTGCCTCCTGGAGTTGTCTCCAATCCTCCTCCATGCCCTTTTGCTGCTGCAACAGCCTGTCCTGGAGCTCTGGAGAGAGGTGGCAGCAGGCAGTGAGCAGCAGGAGGTGGGAAGCCCCCCGCTGCCCACACCGTATTCAAGGAAAAACTGCACGTGTCCAGCTCATCCTTCTGCACAGCCCCAGGACGCTGTTTTGTAAAGGGATCACCGACATCTCTGGTGACCAAGGCAGGCAAGGCTCAGCCAGCCTCAGCTCCTGGCCTCTGGCTGACTCAGAGCAATTTCCCCATTTTCCGGCTGTCCCCAGCCTCGGTGGGAACTCTGCCACCATTCCGGGGCAGAGGAACAGCAGACGTACCCCTGAGCTGCCCGTCCTGCTGCCATGCCTCTGTGACCAGCTCCTGGGAGACGCTCGGCTGCATGGCCTTCGCCTCGAGCATGAGGTCACGCAGCTCACAAGAGAACTTCTCCACTTGCTCCGTGACGCCCTTCAGAGACCTGTGAAGAAGAGTGAGGGAGGGTCACCCCCATGGGACCTGCTTTATTTCACCATGAGGGAGAAGGGCACGCACGGTGGCCAGGCAGCCCTGCCCATCGGGACCTGGTGTACGACATGGCGCTGGTCACCGCTTCGACCTCCTGGTCCTTCAGCCACTTCAGCTGCCGGAGCTGGTCTTTGATCTTGGTCCCCCTCTGGACTGGGGCCACTGGGTGCAAGGGCCTCTGGGCTGGCTCTTCATAGTCCTGGCGCATCTCCTCGACGGACGCCCTGCGGCACGCGGGGAAGGAGCCCGACGTGGGCCCGTGTAAACCAGTGCTCCCCGTGATCAGCAATGGGGAAGGGGCTGGGGCATGGGGCTGCAAACCAGGTCCCAGGAGCTGAGCACGGGGCTTTGGCACAGCGCATCCCACAGGCAAGCATCCACGTTTGGGACAGATCACATCTGGGCGTTATGGGCTTCTTTACCAAAACCTGATTTATCATGGACCCAAA